AAGCTAATTTTGAAGCAATGGACTGAAAACCAATTAATCTGTTCTGGCTGTTTTTTTGTTATGTAGAGGTGCGTTCGTACATTGAAGCATTAGTTCCCATAGGAACTAATGCAAAGCTGGTTAATACGTACTCTACCACTAGGGGGAGAACTTTTTTTTAACCTAAGATGACCTAAGGTTAAAAAAAGAGCAGGAAAGTTTTTTTTTCCTGTTCTTATCTGGATTTTTGTTCTCAAGTAGAAGCAAAATTTAGCAAATGGAGCTGTTCTTAAATGGAATTGTTCTTAAGCAGGGACGTTCTTAAGTAGAGACCCCACTGTAAGTTACTGTGGAAGATCCCATCTCTGGACTCAATATTTCCAACTGCCCATGAGGGATTACATGATAGAATTCTCTCTCAATTTGTAAAAGTGGATACTAAAGTATTTATACCATATAATAAGAACATGTAGAATAATGACTTGGCCATCTTCCATTCAGACAGAGTTTACACTGTAGTCTAAATGTGTTTCTATATATAAAGCAGTTAACACTTATTTGACATATTTTTGTTTCAATGGAAAATGACTGGTGCTTGAGAAGACAGTAGCACTGAAACCTGGACTGGCACTTGAAGGCACTTAGTACTGTCCTTTCCGTGGCTTTGTGGGTTCTTAAAAGATATCTTTCACCTAATTTTTCCCATATAGGAAAAATACAGAATTGAAAAAAATGGCTGAATTCCACAGCAGTGCTATTGAGAAGATGCAAGAAGAGCATAACACCACCATGTGTAAACTTGGAGAGACCACTGCTGAATTTGAAATGTTCGTAAGGCTTAAAGTGAATGGTTGAATTTTCTTGTGCTTCGGTGGTATGTGGGTGAATCTCAGCTGCTTCAAACATTGCACTTGGATGATCTGTTTCAGCTCCAGGGAAGCTTTTCACATTGCAGCCATATTTGGCCTATGACACGGTTTGTTTTTTGTAACACACAATTACTATTTGAAATTTATCGGTGTCTTTGCTAATGTGACTATTCTACTCCTCCCTCTCCCTTTCTCATAAATTATTAGATTCATGCAATGTCTATTTTAAGCACTTCACATCATTGTAGACTGCCATAATCTTAAGTGTAGTTTAGACAATATGTGAAGTAAATTTGATAAAGCAAAAGTTAACAGTAATGGAAGCCTTTATAGTATTTTAAAACACTGATTGGTGTATGGACTGGCTGGTAACAACTGGGAAAGGGAGCATAGTACCAAATGCTTCACTTGCCTTGAAGTGTTTGCTTGTTTCAAATACATTTAGGCATCTTTCAGTCTTGAGAGACTATGGCAACATGCTCTGAATAGAGGACTTGGAACACTGTCTAGTGTGGCTGAGAAAGCCAATTCGAGAGTGACAATTCCTTTCACACTGAAGACAAATACAATCTGTCCCCTGTCCAGCTCCCTGATTTCGCTGGTTTTGGGACTGCCTCTTTGCATCGGCCTGCTGGACAAGGGTCCCTTCAAATTGGGAGAGGCCATGATGCATTGCCTGCCTCCAGGCTGAACGCTCAGATGTCAAGGTTTCCCATCTGTTGAGGTCCATTCCTAAGGCCTTCAGATCCCGCTTGCAGATGTCCTTATATCACAGCTGTAGTCTCCCTCTGGGGTGCTTTCCCTGCGCTAATTCTCCATACAGGAGATCTTTTGGAATCCGACCATCAGCCATTCTCACGACATGCCCGAGCCAACAAAAATACGTTTACCTTGCCTTTATCTTTAAAAGGACCCAAGTGCCTTAAAGGTGCATATAGACAAATCCATCCTGCCCAAGGTATCAAGTGAAGGAATGCTTTTGCAGTTGCTTCCTCAGTTGGAACCTCAGAGATAAATCCAGTTAACTCCAACAAGAGTAGTTCCACTATATTAATAATATATACTGTAGTATTGGCCTACCTGCTTCCCATTGATGCAGTGAGTCTGATGTAGTTCGGACTAACAATTGGATTTGGGCTGCAGCTACATAGCATATGGGATTTCTGTGAGAGCAGGTCAGCTTGCCTTGATGTGAAGAAAACTGGAAGCACCACATCTGACTCAAACTCTACTCTAAATGTTGTCATCCCTGTAGTTACAAAGCTCATGTGACTGAAGAAATTGCATGCCTCAAACAAGAGAAGACGACTATGCAGGAAAAGATACTTGAGATGAGCAAAACAATCCATCAGAGAACTGAAGTGGTGCAAGAGGTTCAACAGGCTAAAGTGCAGGCAAAGGAAGAATGTGAAAGGTATGGGCATGTGGGAGACTTGACTGAAAAAAATGGAGGATGTGTTGCAATATTGTTGAGCCTGTCAGAATCTGTAAACAGCTGTTTCTTCACTGGCATGGATCATAATAAGGTTTGATATTGTTTCTCTCCAAAATCTAATCTGGAACTACTTTTAATTCATTTAAGCAGAATAAGGTATTTAGCTCATCTCTCGTAGTCAAGATGAGTACAGAATAGAATCATGCAAAATGTGATCACTTACACCATCTTGAGTGTGTAAATTGTGTATAAATTAGAAGAGATCATACAGATGTGGGGGCCTGTCTTATGACTGCAGTATTCAACTTCCATGACACAGACTCAGTTACTTCCATTTTGAACTTTATGTTGTATGTAATTACTGTTTGTTCAGTCTGAACTGATAACAATGTCTTTTATAAAAAGTCTGTTGTTCAGTCTGAACTGATAACAATGTCTTAGTGCATTTTATAAAAAGTCTCTTGTCCATGCACCTGTTTTTAGGATGCTCCTGGATGCCCACACAAAACTAGCCTTAAAAGATGAGGAAATAAAAAGAATCAAGGAATCAAGTGTTGAGCAAATTGCTAATCTACAAGCAAGACTAAAAAAGCAAAGTGAAGACTTCAAGAAGCAACTGGAGGTGGAAAGGCAAGTTCTTCTAAGAAGCAACTGGAGGTGGAAAGGCAAGTTTTACTTCTCTCACTCTTGATCAACAGAAAACAAATGAACAAGTCTTTAGCAGGCACAATCTATTAGATGAAATATAGGGTTTTTAAAGAAATTTGAATTGCATTTCTTCTCTTACTTCTTTAGGAGAACTATTGCAGAAAAATTGGAAGCAGATTATAAAGAGGGCATAGAAACCTGGCGTGTCCTTTATGAAGACCTGTCTAATAAAGTGAAACCTTTTCAGGTTGGTCTGTGTATAACATTCATTTAGTAGGATCTTAGAATAGGAATGACTTTCAGCGCCAAAAGTAAGATGCAACATGGGTTCTCTTCTCCATTTGCTCCCTTTATCATAACTCTGGTAGCATGTATTGCAGCCTGGAAAACCTAGCACATCTCCAAAAAAATCTGGTGGATTCTGGTAACAGTAATCCAAAATAACTTTTTAAACCTCTGTTTTGCATGTATTGAATTGGTTACACTTTAAGGATATACAGTACAGTAGTTCTTTTGCAGACAGAACATCTGTGATCCAACAGATTCCAGTGTGGTTGCCGTGTTAGCCTACTTCAGCATGTATATCAAATACAAAAGAAAAAACTTATAATATCTTAGAAGCAAATTAATTTATTTCAGTGCAAGCTTTCAGGAATTACAGTTGGTTTCCTCAGACACAGTATCTGGGTACAGAATATCCCCCCAATGGAGGGGTGGCGTCCATGGGACAAAAACTGGCCTCCCTTTCCTGAGACGTCACTTTCAGAGATTTCTATCAGTGAAGTGAGGAAGCAGACAAATAGCAATTTCTGCTTCTCATGGCAAACACTAAGCCTCTCCAAAATCTGATCTAGACATTGGAAGACACTTCGAAACAGTGAAGAGTAATACAGTGGTGCCCCACTTGATAATTACCGCACTCCACAACGAATCCACTTTATGATGAGGTTTTTGCGATCACTATTGCAATCGCAAAATGTTTAAATGGGGGAAATTCGCTTTACGACAATCTGTTCCCTGCTTTAAAACATCTGATTGGCGGCTCTCAAAATGGCCGCCCGCTATGCAAAATGGCTCCCCGCTGTGTTTAGGACAGATTCCTCGCTTAACAGGCACCGGAAAATGGCCGCCCTATGGAGGATCTTTGCTGCACGATGAGGCATTTCGCCCATTGGAACGCATTGAACTGGTTTTCAATGCATTTCAATGGGTTTTTTACTTTCGCTTGACGACGATTTCGTTCTACAGCGATTCTGCTGGAATGGATTATCGTCTTCAAGCGAGATGTTTGGATGGGGAAATGCCAAAATCATGTCCTATCCTATTATATTGAGGGAAGCTTCTGTTGAATTAGCGAGCCTTCCATTGATAGAGCAAAATCATTGGGATACCGAGCGCAACTGAAATCCAATGAACCTTTGTTGGGCACTAATTCAACACACATCTGTTATGATTTCAGCAACAACTTGATGCATACGAGGCAGAGAAGAATGCCCTTCTGAATGAGCATGGTGCTGCTCAAGATGAGCTGAACAAAATTAATGATGCCTATGCTAAGTTGCTGGGCCATCAGAATCAGAAGCAAAAAATCAAACATGTAATGAAACTGAAAGAAGAGAACAGCCAGCTGAAGCAGGTATCTGTTGTTATATGAAACATTGTGATTTCTTCATCAAAAATGGTTTGCAAAGTTGGAAGCAAAATGAGCTCTTTCAAAAAATTAGGTAACAGCATCTGTATAGAAAAGTGGAGATAAGTCTACATAGCTAGAAATACAGAGTTTTGTGAAGTAATGGAAATTTGGACTTCAAATACCCTTGCCCAGTACCTGACTGAGCCTGCAGGAGACAGAACGTCTGACCCAGTGGGAGAGAAGTGGTAGGAGTTAGAAGCAAAGTATGTTGGGCAGATTTTACCACTGAGAATACTTTGAGAGAGAATATTTTGTGTCATCTTGGAAAGATGTATGTGTGTTGTTTTTATAGAAATCCCTGATTCTCCCAGTCAGTGTGATGAGTAACTATAACAGCTGGGAGAATACTACAGGTTTTATTTAAAAGATACATTTATCTAAGCACACTAGTGGAAAAGGGGGGGAAATGAGAATTGATCTCAAATTTCTGACACCTTATGTTAAGTATTTTGGATAGAAGGATTAAGCTTGAGAAGAAGGATGAGACTTTAATTTCTTCTGGACTCCAGTTCCCAGAATTCCCCTGGGCATAATCCTGGGAGCTGCATCAAAAAAAAACCAGTATCTTAAAGAGGCCTTCTCAAAAGGCCAATATAATGGTGATGGAGATCTACAGTTGTTTAAAAAAGAGCCTTAAATTACTGTGGGCTTCCGTCACCATTACATTGACCTTTCAAGAAGAAAATCCCTGGTGATGCCTGGAAGTAGTGCAAGGGTTCATGGGACTCTTAAGGGAACATGGGATAAGAAGCCTGACTGCCTATTAGGCTCCATAGAGGAAACGTGTCAAACAATTGTCCCATGCTGCCTTGAGACTCGCATGGACTTCCATCACACCCAGCTACCACTCCAAGCATTCTGTTACGTAGTATAATTTTGTTTTTAAAAATTGTTTTAATTAAGTTAGTATATTTCTTTTAGCCCCACTTGGTCTAGCAAAATGAAGTAGTAAGTGTTCAAGAAGTGACTCGATTGGTCTATGCCACACCTTGTTACATCTCAGAATATAGGAGTTGATCTTGCATGTAGGTGATCTTTTCTCTTAGGAATTATCAAGGCTACGCTCCCAACTAGCAAAGGAAAAACAAGTTCGGGGAGAGCTCCAGGATCAGATTAATGCAATCCAGGGTGTCAAGCGATTTGATCCTTCAAAAGCTTTTCAGCACAGTGCAAAAGAAAACATGGCTCTAAGAACACCTTTTCAAGAAAGTGAGTGTCTTTATGGATATATTCTAGAAACTTGAAGATTTTGGCTAGGGTCAGTGAAATTAATGATAAGAAGTCATCTTAATTTTTCAAACATTTTACTGTATTTTTACTACCCAGGAGGTAACAGAAGAAAAACCAAGCTGCTTTCTGCTGAAGAGGAAGAAATGTACAGAAGCTTCAGGGACTGTGTTTGAGAAGAAGATAACTGAGCTATCTTATTTGAATTGTGTGTTTATATGTAGGATATATCAGTGCAACTTGATTATTTGATGGGGATCGTTTATATATATAATAAAGCAATAATAAAGCAATTGACTATAACTTTTATAATTGTCTTCATTTTTAGTCAAAGTGATCCTAACCCTGATGTATTTAATGTACCAGCAAAGTAGTTCTACTTCCAGTCACCTGCTGGATCTGATCAACTGATCTCAGATATGTTGACCGTTATCTCTGTTTTCACATAGTATTGTATTAGGTATTCTGGAATAGATATATTGTTCTATAGATTATTGTTTAATTTTTCTGTAAATGTTTAAATATATACACAAGGTTTTTTAAAACAGTATCTGGTACATTTAATTAAAAGCTGGAAATATTGCAGGTGTTAGAGAAGCTAATTTTTATAGAAATTTAATTTTGAGATAAATTCACATTTGCTATGTTCTTAAGATGGCAAGTCTATATTCTAGGTGCAGTTGAACGAACAGGATGTCTTCCATGTTTTGAATTTTTTAAAATAAAATAAAATTGCACTAACAAACAAACAGCAGGTATCTAATTCATAATTCTATGTGCAGTTCAAAGAGTACTTATGCTCTTCTCAGAAAACAAATCAGAAATACATTTGTGTTTAGAAGTGGTTTTAAACAATTTAAACACACTTGAACTTGGTTTAAAGACTTTATAGTCTGGTTTTAAAATCATTGAGTCTAATGCAATAATGAAGCAAATGCTTCAGATTTGATTTGGTCAAGTATTACTAAATAGAATACTGTATTTTCCCCCACCTACTCTATTCTGGGGAACTTGTTCAAGCCTTCAGTACCAACTACTTAAACTGAATTATGTCCATTATTTTAATTACTGTTCCAAACAGTAAACTGACCTTCGTTACTGATTTACATAAAAGTGATTTAAATCTAATGGTTGTTGTGGGTTTTTCGGGCTCTTTGGCCGTGTTCTGAATGTTCTTCCTAAAGTTTCACCAGTCTCTGTGGCCGGCATCTTCAGAGGACAGCAGCTTTCTTGTAATTGCCTTCGTTTGGGCTTTATCCTGAGGGCTAGGAAAAAATAAACCAGGGGGATAAAAGTACTACCTACTTCTGGAGACTACTGGAAGCCCTTCTGTCCTGTGTGCATCATTCAACCTATCACCTGGCCCTTCTGTTTGCATTTCCCTATTTGCAGGCATAGGACCTTTCTGGAAAACCCAAGAAATATAAATATATTTACAGGCCCCAATAAACATCATCCCAAAGGGACATGTGCCCTAATCTAATCTGCTTTCCCTTAGCCTTCAAAAATTAGGAATAATTTGGTCTAACTCATCTGCAATTCCTGGTTGCCTTATCCTTTTTCAAAAGTGACTGCAGGCCACGTTTAGGGGAAATATTCAATATGCAAGAACATGGCAGCAACATGGCATGCTGGATCATTTTCTTTTTGCACAGTAACTCAAATTCAGAGTGTGTATACAACACTTGCCTGGACCAGATTCCTGTCATGCCAGTGCTGCCTGCCTTAGTGGAGCAAGCGGGTTTAGCTGACAGCTCTTATAACATTTGTTACATATCTCAGTAGAATATGTAACACCTGTCTCCTGAACTATGTGCGAAGTGGCATTTTCAATCACTTTTCTTTTGCAACAGACACCGCTCCCACATTCCAGGTTCTTAATATAACTCTTGCCTCCATCTTCACCTTGTTCTTTTGTTTGTTTTTAGAGGGGGGGTGAGGTTGTTAGATTCAGAGGAAAGAGCCACCTAGTTTCTTTACAAATCACTTGTTTCTGTATTGTATTCTGGGCTTAAAAACAGACACGTTTTCACGATAATTGCACAATATTTTAAGCGAAACAAATATTTTCCCATGTATGGCAGCAACTGGCCAGTATCCTGTTCAGTATGTATTGCACAGACCTCCACCTGCCCTGGGTACGCTCTCACGTTATACCTAGATCTTCTGCGTGCAATTACTGAACCGGGTACTGGCTGCTGCTGGCTCCGGAAGCCAAAGCATACATTGCGGTAACATTTGGGGGGGAAAAAAAGCAAACAGCGAAAACAAGAGTCAAATTGCAAAATCAGCTTGCAGGCAAAACAAGGAAGTAGCGGGGGGCACGTGACACCCGAAGTGGCATGGCCTGACCCCGCCCCTAACGCTTTATAACGGGGCTCCTTAGAGAAACAAGTCCTCGCGAGGGCTGGTAAAAGCGACCTGGTTTTCCTAGGGCGCAGCCAATGAGCGAGGCCCAGAAACGTGCCCAACGGACGCTGTTGAACGAGGCGCCTCTAAGCCCCGCCCCTTCGCGACGAAAGGGCCAACCAGCGCCCGCGGGTTCGGAGCCCTTCGAGAGTATTTAGGGGAGGTGTGCCCTGAGGGTCAGGAAAGAGTTTGTAGTGGCTGCCGGTGGTGGTTGGGCTGCTTCGAGGCTCGGAGCGGAAGCTGAAGAGGGATGGTCGGTTGGGAGAAAGGGCTTCGGATCCACTTTGAGCCCGGGAGCTGCTGGCTGGAGGAGGTGAGACAGGACGCGTCAGCCCCACCCGCCTTCCCTCTTTCCCCCTCTGCCTTCTCGGTGGTAAACAAACTGGGTCCCCGCCCGTCTGTCTCAGTGGGACTCGGCTCGGCTCTCGGGCTGCTTAGCCTCCCCGTCCGGCGCCCTCTCAATGGGTCCAGTCCAGGGGTGTGTGTGTGTGTGGGGGGGGGACACCTACGGTTCCCCCTGTGTTGTGTTGCTGGTCTGCAGCTCCCAGCATCCTGCTCGGCTGAGGGGGATCTGCAGCCCCTGAAAGCTCTCTCGGGGGATACGTGATCTTCTCTCCTTATTTCTCTGGGCTCAGCGTGTGGGGCGTTCAGCTCCCGTCCTAGACCCTCTTTCTGGGATAATAAACCTGACTCCGTTCTTTGGGGCGCCTTAGTCAGCAAACGGACATCAACTAGAGATCATGCCGTTTCTAATCCTGTCATTAGTCCAAAATTAGTCTTGATTGATTCCGTGCAGGGCAGGTTACTTTTAGATAAGCCCCACTGAGAAGAGAAAGGGGAATAGTTCTGGGATGTAGGCAACAACCTTAAACTTATGCCCTATTAAATTAAGTGGAAGTTTTTCCCTAGCAAACTTAAGCAAGGATTATTGCTGTTGGGTGCCTTTAAGGGCCCACAACATCATCTCAATGAAATGGTGGGTTTTGTCCGTAACTAGGTTCTGTGGGCATCAGAGTACAATTAATAAGTATATTGCATTGCTTAGTAACAGGCAACGTTAAAAGTATTTGGGACAGCTGCCATCAGATCTTCTATACAGCACATGTTGAGGGGCATAGATATAGATGTGAAGTTGCCTATTTTTGTCTTCACTCACAAAAGACTGGGTTGATGCAAGACCCTCATTTCCTTAGGTTCACTTATCTCCCTGTATTAGCGGGTACAATACTTGATAGGTAATTGATTTTATCAGTAGGCGTTGGGCATTTGTCAAATTTCATTGTATGTTGCATCTACCTGTTTTGCATTCTGTCCTATACTGGGCCAATGTATTAACCTGCAGCAGTGGTTCCTAACCATGGGTGATCCGGGTGTTCTTGGACTGCAACTCCCAAAAACCCTGGGCAATGCAATTCATGGTGAAGGCTTCTGAGAGTTGCAGTCCAAGAACACCGGGGTTACTCAGGATTGGGAACTACTGACCACTGAGTAGCAGTGAGCCGGCACTGAAGTTCTTGGTATTTGCAGTTGTGTCTCTCAGCTTCCAATAACTTTCACAGAATGTCCCTTTTGTTGACTTTTTGCTTTGTATTTTGGTGGTGTTTCTTACAGGTTATTGTAAGCTTCAAGGTAACTAAGTATTTCTAGGCCAAACAGTGATCTAGTTGGAAGGTCTTCCAGTTTCTGAGATGCCTGTTTGTTTCTCAGATACTTGCAGTTTTAAATTGATTTTTATCATAGCATGCACCAGTTTTTTCTGATGCATCTGTTAGGTGTTTTACCATCTTAATTGGATCTGACTGAGCAGGAAGTGTGATATCATCAGTATAAATAATACTTTTGGTGTCTTGAGGAAGTGTTTGGTTGTTGGTGTAGATGCTAAAACAAAATAGTTTAAAATAATTCTCCATTGGCTGTTTTGGCTTTGCAAATTAATGCAAAATCTACAATTTTGCAGAAGACTTGCTGATACTTTTAATTTATAATCCTTGGTAAAATTATAGAATTTTTGCTGTAGTACCTGATTATGAACAGGGTCACAGATAGCTGTGAATAATTTGTTTAAATAATACTTCTTGGTGCATCTAATTTTTAACTTAGAATAAATATTTGTAAGTAGTGTCCTTTTCTGAAACTGGAGACACAAATGCAGGTTACAAGTAATGCAATGGAATTTCCAGATGCCTCAAGTATTAATCTACACTTGGGATTTGTGTGCAGCATATATTATTACAGCTATAATCCTGTATGTGCTTGAAGTGGGCATGAGTCCTGTGGACCTTAATGGGATGTGTTCCAGGTCGATGTGCCCAAAACTGCCTTGCATTTTTTGGAAAAAACAGAACATTATGATCTTGAGAATTCAGAATTGTTAAATTGCGTATTTCTTTTTACAGGATGATGTTGACATCCCAAATAGACGTGTTTTGATTACTGGTGCCACTGGGCTCCTTGGAAGAGCTGTGTATAAGGAATTTAAAGCTAATCATTGGAATGCTGTTGGCTGCGGATACAGTAGAGCTCGACCCATGTTTGAGCAAGTTAATCTTCTAGATGCTGCTGCTGTTCATAACCTAATCCGGGATTTTCAGGTGGGAATAGTAGAATTGGGGCTAGAATCCATCCTGCTCATAAGGTGTTTGTATTTGCTTGCTGGCCTGTTCATTTTTGAACATTTGAAGTTTCCCTTTTTTATAGGTACAGTGTGCAACAGGTTAACTCTTTCAACATATTTCAACCTTTTTTATATATTATCTTTTACACCTTATTTCTGTGACCTCGAACATGGCAGTTACTAAGATGTCCTTTTTGCAGATTGATAGCTTGTGTAGATTTTGTACATTGTCTGATACAGGTGAGGTTTGTGCTTCAGAAAAGTAGACTTGTGTTGGTATTTTTCTTTCCTTCCTTTTTTGAAGGCAAAACACAGTATGTCTATATCTTTTCCTGTAGCAAAGGAGGAGACCCTGCAGGAGATGGGTTGTCCCTCCTACTTGCTTCCACAGGCAGAACTCATGAGCCAATCAGGTGGTGCTTAAGAGAGAGGAACCAACCCTGTCTGAACCAGTTTTTGCCTGCACTTCTCTGTCTGTGCTTCGCAAAGGCCTACCTCAACTTTGTCTTCAGCTTTGCCTTCAGTGATTTCTATTTTCATTATATTCCTCAACCATGAGCTGTACTTCCAGGATTCTCTCCACCAGAGGCAGACTTATGTCAGGTGGGGAGGATGCTGGCTTTCAGGCCGCAACAGATTTTGGATCATCATCAGATGACATATGTTAGGGCCAAGAAAATGATGGAGGAAAATGAAGAGCTGGGCAGCAGTTAATGAAAGATCTGCCTTGGAATGCTGAGGTATCTCCAAAAGGCTCTCATCCCACAGACCGTACAAGGGGTGCCAGCAAAGACCATCTAAACAAATTGTAAGTATTTGGGAATCTGAGTTTCAGTATCCCTGTTTCCTCCCATCATAGTCAGATGCTTCACCCAGAATTTATTGACTCTTGGGAATCAAAAAGCTTTTTTCAGCTGCAAAAGGCATGGGAATTGCTGCAAAGAATAATGCCTTCCTGCTCCATTAGGGAACCCTCCTAAGTCTGTTTTCCACCCCACCCTGTGCCTCCTAGGTCCCACAGTATCCAAGACCCAGTATGGGCCTGAGAACAGGTTCGCCAGGCAATTTTGGACTTGGAAAAAGGTAATCAGGTATGTCAGGAAGCATATATTCAGGATGATGATCTTCTAATTCAGTCATGATTAGAAAGTCAGGACCTGAAAAATGGGCAGACCACATTGCACATGTTGTGCAGACATGGTTTTCTGGTGAGTCTTGAGAAAAGCCACTTAACCCATCTGAGATCATGAAACACCAGGGTGACATTAGCCACATTTCATACCAGGTCTGCCGGAGGAATTTTGCAAGGTGGCCACTTGGAACATGTACTCTTCCTTTGTTAAACATTACCTCATGAACTGTTAGCTCAGCTGAGGTGGCATTGGGGATAAAGGACCTTCAGCAGGTGCATGACCACCCGGAAGTCCAACTTGAATGGTGTTTAAGAGATAGGTGACACTTTCCTTGGTCCCACCCTAGGACATTAATCTTTGGTGAGTCCCATCTCTTGAGGATGTCCTCTGCTACAGGAAAAAAGAACATTGGTACTTACAGTGAAATGTTTACTTTATATAGCAGAACGAGGACATACCCTGGAGTTACTGTGACTAGGTCCTCAGGGGCAGGTACCATGCCTGTTTTTACATGTCTATACTGTATTGATTATATTATTCCCTTTTTCTGATGGCTGGTAATGGACAGGTGCAGCCAGGGTTGGTTGGTCCTTCTCTTTTGCGGGGGCCTTAGTGCTACCTAATTGGCTGATTAGTTCTGCCTATGGAAGTGAGTAGAAGAGACAACTGTCTCTTGAGGATGTCTTCCTTCTGCTACATAAGATGAATATTTCACTGTGACTACTAATTATTATTATTTATTATTTATTTAATTTATATCCCGCCTGTCTAGTCGTGGTGGACTACTCTAGGCGGCATTTCTTCCTGCTATAGTTATGAATTCATTCAAGGAAATCTTTAGAATAACAACAGAGAATTGATAGGAAGAACAGGCAAAAGGTTTCTAGTGTTCGGTTATGTAAATACTGTACAAACATTATTATGAATGGATGTAATCTGGCAAAGAAGACTGCAGCATGAAAGAGAAAGGTATTCCTCTGGATAGTGTTGCATCAGAACTCCTGTGAACTCTCATCAGAAGAACTAGTGCTGAAAGATCATGAGAGTTACAGTCCAACAACAACTGGATGGCCACATGTTCTTTGTTGTTACTTCAGCATTATGTAGATAATTTAGATGCATGCTTCAGCAGATCCCCAGTCATGCTTCTTGGGTTGATAGTGTGGATTTGTTGCAACTCTATATATTTCTTCTATGCTCAGTGTGGGTTTATTTTCCAGCCTCATGTCATAATACACTGTGCAGCTGAGAGAAGACCAGATGTTGTAGATAGACAACCAGATGTTGCATCTCAGCTCAATGTGGTTGCTTCAGAGAACTTAGCAAAAGAAGCAGGTAAAAAGACATTTTTCTTGCATTGAGCATTACATAGTACAGTGGTGCCTTGCACAACGAGTGCACCGTTTAACGACTAATCCACATAGCGACGTGTATTTTGTGATCGTTTTTACGATCGTATTGCGATGTTTTAATAGGCTAAACATCGCATTGCGATGATCGGTAAGCGTTTCGCTTACCGATCTTCGCATTGCGATGTTAGGGAAACAGCTGATTGGCGGTTCCAAAATGGCCGCCGGATCAAGAAAATGGCCGCCCGCAGCATTTTCGCACCTTGCCCTCACTTACCAAGGCAGCAAAAATGGCGGCCGGATGGGGAATCTTCGCTTACCGGCGAGTTTTTCCCCCATAGGAACACATTAATGTGTTCCTATGGGGTTTTACATTCTGTTTAGTGATGTTTCCGGATAGCGAGTTTTTTCCTGGAACAGATTAATGTCGCTATGCAGGGCACCACTGTACAACAATCTTTAAAAAGATAACTGACTAATTTGTGTCATGTGGTTTGCTGAAGGAGGTGGACAGTGGGATCCAGGTGGTCAATGCTAGGCCATAATGATTTTGAAGTGATCCATCAGATTGTTAGAGTAACTGCGATTTTCTTTTCATTCTAGTACAAATAGGAGCATTTCTGGTCTACATTAGTACAGATTATGTATTTGATGGAACAAATCCTCCATATAAAGAGAATGATGTGCCTAATCCACTAAATCTTTATGGCCAAACCAAATTAGACGGTGAAAAGACAGTTCTGCGGAACAATGAAAGTAAGTTTCAGTCAGAAGTTGGTAAGGTTTTTCTTAATAGCTAAAACTTGATAGCTGCAATGCTGTATCAACTTATTTGGAAAAGATATTAGTTGGAGCCAATGCATAAAGGGGTGGGGCAGCGCTCACACCAGCGGGTGGGGGAGCGCTCACACCAGCGCTGGCGTGCGTGTGTGTGTGTGCAAAAGAGCTGTGGGAGGAGTGTGTGCAGGGGGGGACAGGAGGTCTGTTTTCGCAGCCCAGTCCAGCTCAGGCCATGGACCGGCACCAAGCTGCGGACTGGGGGTTGACGACCTCTGTTGTAAAGGATACAGACCTTCCTTTCACAAAAACAAGCCTTGACTAGTTGAGGCCTTAATGTGCCATCGGCTCTGACAAACATACATAGGCTGCTGATAGTATGTGTGAGTGTTCAGCTGTACTCCCTACCCCTTTTGGTCTCCTCCCACAAATACAACAGACTCCTATTCGTGCTTTGAACCATCAACCTTTACTTGAGAACCATTCAACATTGTATTAACAGTTTCAAGCAATCCAGCTTTCGCCTTTCTCTCCAATGGGAAGAGGAAGAGGTTTATGGAATGAGCTTTCAGCCTTTTCAAATTCTTGGGTTTTTTTCTTCCTTTTGGTTCAACCGAGTCTCCTGACAATTGCAAGTATGGTAGATGTCATCGCCCCACCCCTCTGTAGGGCTGCTGTCTCTGTGAATGTAGTTTCCCACCATCTTGCGTGCCAGTGGTGTCACTGGGGTGTGGGAATTTCCATCCTAACTTCTCTCTTCTCCGTATCTCTGTTCATGTTCTCTATTCTTCTATCTTTCTACTCCACTCTATTATCTCATGCTCCCCCTAGTAAAAAGATTTTTACTTATGATTTTTTTCCACTCATGAGTCTAAGAGTTCTCTATCCAAACCCATTCTTATGCCTCAGGTAATACTAGTCTTTTTACTGCTTCTACTGCACTAGCTTCTACTTCCTTGGCCTTTCCACTCTTCTCCCCATTCTGTTCATTTTCTCCTGTATTTATAGTATCTTCTTTTTCTTTTCCCCTCTCCTCCTCCTGGTTCGGGTTTCCTGCCTTTTTCTCTTTCTCTTCCCTCTCTTTTCCAACGGGTTTTCTCTTTTTCTTCCTTTTCTTTCTCTACTGTTCTAGTGGCTTGGGCTCCCTCCACTGTCCAAGGAAGTGGGGGTAGCACTCAGGTGGAAGGTGTTGCTTTTCCACCCCCTTTCTCACGGTTTAAATTTATATAATTGAAATTCAGTGTGGTATTCAGCACATCTTAGATTCCCAAGCAATGGGAAGTCAGTGTTTTATATTGTGCAGCAGAAATGAAATGGGAAAAACTCATGAAATTATGAAATAACAGAAATGAAACATTTTGCAGAAATTCTAAATTTAGACCTGAAACCGAGGGGTAAAAAGATTTAAATGGTACTAATATCTAAAGCAATGCAGTGGCCTCACTTGAACCAGATCTCCTTCTCTGTTTTGGTTGCTTCCAGTGGACTACTGTGCACATTTCTCATTGCTTTTTCTGGGAAATTGTTTTGTCAAGGAATAGAAATTAAATTATTTTAGATTTTAAAGCCCTTAATAGTTTAGGACCTTGTTACCTGCCTGAGCACCTCTCCCTCAAAATGTCTACTCATCCCACTCACACCTCTTATATGGGGATGCTTTGGGTGGCCACTCCGGGGAGGCCTGGAAGTCATTTACCTGCAGTCAGGCCTTCTCTGTGGTAGCCGTTTCACTCTGGAAGTCCCTTACTCTAGAGGTGCAGCTAGCCCCATCCCTCCTGGGTTTCACAAGGTAACTTGTTCTCCCAAGACTTTTTTTTTACTTCACCCCAAAGTTAGGGTCACGGATGGGTGGAAGTCTGTAGTGACAGGATTTATAGAGAAAGACGTTTGCCTAACGCAGTGAAGATGATAATGAATGGAAGTGGAAGTGGTTTTTGTGGTGGTTAGTAGGACTTACGCAGTTTAATATAGGAATGGGATTTCATAATTCTGTAATTCCCCATTCTGGGATTTCTGTCTAGCAGACAGACACTTAAATATGACTCACCTTTGAGCAAGGCTTAAACTGGAAGTCTGAGGCCTAGCTTCTCCCTGCTTCCTATTCAGAAAGAAAGCTTCCAGCTAGCACTTGGGTAGGAACAGGAAGCTCAGGCGGAGCTGTGTCTTTTTTTTTTTGCAGCCCATCGGCTTGTTGGATCATGGCGCCCATTGGTTCTTGTAAACCATGGTCCTGGGATTTGGAGCTTTCCTTACTGATGTTTCTTATTGCTTTCTATTACGTTTGGTTATGTTTGCCATGCAGAATAGTGGTTTTGCTACTAATTGGTAGCAGAATAATGTAAACTAATAAATAAATAAAATGGTCAAGGGCTATGCATTTTTTACAAAGAAAACCGAAGGTGTTAAGAATTTGTTTGTTAGGGTCACGGATGGGTGGAAGTCTGTAGTGACAGGATTTATAGAGAAAGACGTTTGCCTAACGCAGTGAAGATGATAATGAATGGAAGTGGAAGTGGTTTTTGTGGTGGTTAGTAGGACTTACGCAGTTTAATATAGGAATGGGATTTCATAATTCTGTAATTCCCCATTCTGGGATTTCTGTCTAGCAGACAGACACTTAAATATGACTCACCTTTGAGCAAGGCTTAAACTGGAAGTCTGAGGCCTAGCTTCTCCCTGCTTCCTATTCAGAAAGAAAGCTTCCAGCTAGCACTTGGGTAGGAACAGGAAGCTCAGGCGGAGCTGTGTCTAGTAAGGCCTCAAAGACTTCCAATAATCCAAAAAAAAATAAAAATGATATCCTATATGGTTTCTGTGATGTCGGTATTTCAGAGGCAGTTGGAGAGGAAAATAGATTTCATTGGCTAGATTTCTACTATGAAGACCTATGTGGGACTATTGTACTAGTATGAGAGACTATACCAGGAAAGATTACCATATTTCATAGGAATTTTAAACCTAAAGCATTTGTTTTGTGTGCAACTTGGACAAAATAAAGTGGTCAGTTCCAAATGAAGGAAGATTCTCTTTGAAAATATGTTCATAGTTGCATGAGCAGGGCCACTTGAATGGCTGGTGGGGTTTTTTTTCACCAGTCTGTGCCATTCATGGAAACCAGAATTGGTTGCACAAGAAAATATGAAATGCCTCCTACTGCAATATACATATATCCTTAACATAAACCCCCTCATTACTTGATGGTTGCATCTAAAATATAAGCTAATGTTTGTTTATTTTGATGGATTGCTACTTGTGCATGTAGCATAGCATTACTTGCTTGCATAGTTGCATTTCATCTGAAAAAAAAATCAGATGCAATTTCCTCTTCTCCCCTATATTATTTCTGCCTTACATCAGCAGTAATCCGTACCACTGCTTCTTTACAAATTTTAAGTAGAATTATCATCTTGAAGGCATGGAACATAATTGTTCAAAGGTGGTTGTTATTCAAAAACACCAGACACATTCAATCAAATCTATGAAAACATTTACAGGTATTATGTAACAAATACAAGCTTTGACCAAACCTCCCCTATATTATTTCTGCCTTACATCAGCAGTAATCCGTACCACTGCTTCTTTACAAATTTTAAGTAGAATTATCATCTTGAAGGCATGGAACATAATTGTTCAAAGGTGGTTGTTATTCAAAAACACCAGACACATTCAATCAAATCTATGAAAACATTTACAGGTATTATGTAACAAATACAAGCTTTGACTAAAAAACCTAAGTATCTGTTAAATGTCAGCGCAGTATGTATGCTGTTCCTAATATTGCCGTTTTTGGTTGCTCTGATGGTGTTATTTCTGAGATCTGCAACTGCTTATTGTATTGTGTGAATTTCTTGATATTATTATTACTACTTTTAGAGCTGGATTTAAGAATGTTATGTCTATCCATAAATGCATCTTTCTCTTGATCACTTTTCTCATCATGTAGGTGCTGCTGTGCTTAGAATTCCTATTTTGTATGGAGAAGTTGAACGACTAGAAGAGAGTGCAGTGACTATCATGTTTGAAAAAGTGCAGTTGAACAATAAATCAGCCAATATGGACCACTGGCAGCAGAGGTTTCCTACCTATGTTAAGGATGTAGCCAGTGTTTGCCGACAGCTAGCAGAGAAGAGAATGCTGGTGAGAAATTCTGTAAATGAATTTAAACCAGAGGAGTTTCTTCATATGTGATAATTGTATGCATGGGATACAATTCATAGTGTTTTATTATATTTTTGAAGTGCATCCAAAATTTGAGAAGTATATATTACCAGTTTTGGCAGGCTTCTAATAGCAAACAAACAAAAAAAAAATCAGGACTCTTTTAACAGTTTAAAATAAGTTCAGTATCATTCAGGTTATGAACTTTGTACAGTAATGAGCAGTGTAGAACATGGAAATGTACTGAACATGGAAATGTTCAGTATCTTTCAGGTTAAGAACTTTGTACAGTAATGAGCAGTGTAGAACATGGAAATATCCAACACTTTGGATAAAAGTGTCTAAACAAGATACAGCAATTTTAATATCTATATATATCTATAGATATAGATAGATAGATATAGATATCTATATATCTATATCTATCTATAGATATCTATATCTATATTTTGTTCCCATAATGGCTGCAGTTGGTTGACTGTAGGTCACAATCAGATTGGTTCTTATGCCTCTACAAATTACCAAAATTTGCTTCAGTGTGCTTGGGTTTAAAAATGCTGAAACATGACCAAAAATATTGAGAACCAATTGCTATGACAAAATGAAGTGCCAAAGGAAAATAAGGTTGAGAGTTGCAGCCGTAATGAAAACCAACACCTCCCCTGGAAACTCCAGTTGCTGAGCCCTGTGGAGACTCCACTTAATGTGCTCCCTCCACTTAATGTGCTCCCCAGCCACTCAGCTGGGCAACCATTTTACATCCGAGTATGGCATGAGGTGCAGGCTTTGGTTGCATAGGACAAAGTAGCACCAGAGATTGTGTTCCTGTCTACTTCCTTTTATATTTAATGTATGATGCTGGCCTTTATTTGCAGAATCTTTTTTTCTGTTTTTGTGGTACTTTGAATGCATCGCGCCATGAGTAGACATATTTGGGCCACTAAGGGATTAGGGACACTAAGGGAACATCTCCCGCAGCCCAACATATTTTCTTCTGTTCTTCTCGTTGTTTGGTGCACTGCAAGAGATCCACAGAAGAAACTTCTGCCTGACTTTACCCAGCTGCTCTTCTACATAATACAGAGCAACAACAGAGGTCATTAATTTTGTCACTGCACATACCTGTATGTGGTTCATAAGTGAGTAGTTGCCAAATGTACAGCACTCTATTCGGGCAAGACAGAAAGTGGGCATATTTGGATAAGTTGGATGACTAATTAAATATACTGAGGGGACATCTTCCACATTTTCTCAGAGCATCGCTCACAGGGAGAGATACATGGAAGAAGGATGGTCAGTAGGAGCTTTGTCCACTACATTACCAAAATTGATGGCAGTGTGTGGTGCACATACTTATGCCGCAGGCTTTCTCCCTGCCCCAAAGTCCAAAAACTTGCAAATATGTACAAATATATGTAGGAACTCAATATCTAATCAGTTCAGACTGTGTCCAAATCAGCACAGTGTAGGTTGGTGACGATTTGTCCAATGAGTATTTGGATAAACAGTATATACCACATATCAGATCTGATAATAGTTATACATCCCTGGTAGAAAACACAGATGTATGTAGACTCTTCCTCAGATATGTAATTTAATTTATCTTGTGTCTCCATGTTACTACATTGAATATGTCCTTGTCTAAAAGAAAGAAAGGGAATGGCACACTTGTAAAGGTTTCCATGTCTTCAGATATTTATGATACTTATTTGGTGGTCCTACTGTATGTCCAAATGCCTTCTGTCCAGGAAATGTTCATTTACCACTTACTACATTGGATCATTGCGCACAGGACAGCATTTTATCTCCCTGTCAAGTAGCTGTAAGAGCAGTCCTTGCTAAAATACAATTTTAGAAGAATAAGATCTGTAAAGTGTTCCTTTGTAAAGGGAAAAAATGCAAGCGCAGAATTTCTTTCTTGACAACACAGAATTAATTTTGGAATCACTTTGTGTTGGTGATGAATTCTAAGTTACATACATCTCTTCCTAATATGTGTTGTCTTTGCAATTTAAGCAATGTTTTTTAATAAAGGTAACACAGTTTTCAGTTGCATTTCAAGGAAATGTGGTAGATATCATAAACCTGAATTCATTTAAGATCAAAAGAATTGATTTTCAGGAGTTTTTGGAGAACATTCTGTGACTGAGATAAAATTAAAGAGTTTCATTTTATACTCCGTAGAACAACATGGGAAAAAACTTTGTTATAAGGAAGAAAGATTCATTAGGAAATAATCCAGATGTTGATTCTTGCTTTCTATTTTTGAATGATTATATGTGACATTCTTTAAGCAAAAACAAATAGCTTACTCCAGAAACATCAAGCTGGGTTATGAGTTTTCTGTTCTGCTCTAAAATGCCTTCAGCCATTGCATGGATTTTTTTTTGCTTCCTTCCCACATATCTGAGCACAAGAGGATTCCAAATGTTCCATGTTTTTCTTTTTCCCAAGGATCCTTCTATAAGAGGAATATTTCACTGGTCTGGAAATGAGCAGATGACCAAGTTTGAAATGGCACGTGCAATGGCTGATGCTTTCAACCTTCCGAGTAGCCACTTGAGACCAGTAAGTAGTCTTAATTGTTTTAGGTGGAGAGCAAAACTGTATTTACAGTTTATCTGATAGAATCTGGAGATAAAACAAATTGATAAACCAATTATTTGAACTGGTTTTATATTATTGGGGTGATCCTGTCTCTCTTTCTCTCTGTGTCTCTCTTTGCTATTCATCTAATAGTGTTCACTAAAAACTTTGGGTGGAATTTCTTCTGATCTGCTCAGATAACAGTTTCTATAAGCTACAGTCTCCCCTGTGTATTTAAGCACTTGCTTGGAGGCAAGAGGGAACAAGGAATTGCAGTTAGGCAAGTGCATGGAATTTAATGTAGGTGAATGAACAGGCTAGTGGGAGAGGGGCTTCCTTTTTTTGAGGTCAGAAGCTAAGCAGGTTTGTAGATGAGGGAAGCCCCCTCCTCTTCTCATTGTAGAGATTCAGTGGGGTGGTAGAGAATGAGCATTGTTCTTACGCTCGCCTTTCCCAGTGCTCGGTAAACATACACTTCAAGGGAAGTGGGTATGTTTTATAAGATTCCTTTCCAGAGCAGTTTCCTTAAAGAGAGGACAGTTAGCTGTAACAGAAACTGCTAGGCTGTAGGGAAAGACAACTGGATGCCTAGAATAAGACCTAGCTAAGTGTATTGGCAGAGGAATAGCTCTTCATATCCTTTCAGTACTAACGGAAAATGGTACTCGTTGTTCAATGCTGTGATGGGAAAATATTCCTGTTTCTCTAATGTTGGGATGATCAACATGTTGGAAAAAAACAAACACAATTACAAGATGAGGATACCGGCTCAGGAATACCACAAGCAAGAAGGATCTTGGAATCATCATAGATCACAAGGTGAATATAAGCCAACAGTGCAGTGTGGCTACAAAAAAAGGCAGATGATATTTTAGGCTGCATTAAGAGACATATAGTCTCCAAGTCACGAAATGTACTAGTTCCATTCTATTTGGCACTGGTTAGGCTTCACCTAAAGTACTGTGTCAGGTTCTGGGCACTGCACTTTAAGAAGGATGCTGACAAATTGGAACAAGTTCAGAGGCAACAAGGATGTTCAGGGGCTGGAAACTGAGCCCTCTAAGGAAAGACTGAAAAAACGTGACATGTTTAGTCTTGAGAAAAAGACTGAGGGGAGATACAGTAGCACATTTCTGTTCTTGATCACCTCAGAGTTCAGAACACCCAGCAATGGGCACAAATTACTGGAAGCCAGATTTCGGTTGAATATCAAGAAAAACCACCTGTTAGAGCAGTACGGCAGTGGAACCAATTATCTTAAGAGGTGGTGAGTGCTCCAACATTGGAGGCGTTCCACAGAAATTTAGACAACCACCTGGCAGATACCTTTGATTTGTATTCCTGCATCAAGCTTTATAGGCCCCTTCCAACTTTGTTATTCTAGTCCATGATTCTGTGTGGCCCTCCCCAAATACCTCACACTCTCACAGCATTGTTATCCCTGCTGGTGAGTGCTATGCATAGGGGAAATCTGTCAGGTTTTGAGGAACCATTGGTAACCCTGATGCTCACTCCGTGCACCGCCCACCCCCTTTTTTAAAGAAAAAATATTGGTCATTGGAGGATGCAAAGAGGCTTTTTCAGTTATTGAAACATTCTTATAAGAAGAAAGAATGGAACTCTAGTTCTGGAGTTTGCCCCTTTCTCTATTGCGGTGGGTAGTCCTAGAAAAACTGCATAAATTTTATTCTAGAAAATGTTTCTCCCATACTCTGATGTTTCTCTTTATTTTAAAGATTACAGATAGCCCAGTAGTGGGTGCTCTTCGTCCCAGGAATGCTCAGCTTGACTGTTCCAGGCTGCAGATGTTGGGCATTGGACAGCACACTCCTTTTCGAGTAGGGATCAAAGAATCTCTTTGGCCTTTTCTAATTGACAAGAGATGGAGGCAGACTGTCTTCCATTAGTTAGTAAATATCTTAGTGTAAGTATGGTATGAGGCACTTTTCTAAAATGGGGGAAAAGGATAGTTTTATATTGCGTGTTCTGTCTTTCAAATTTAATTCAATCAGGTAAAAACATAATCTTGCACTAGTGGCATTGTAACAATTACTGACAAACAAAAAGCCTTGTTTGGGACTTTTTTCTTATTACTGGCTTATAAATATCTAGTAATCTATCCTTAGTACAGCTATACAGATTTGTTCTCAAATGTTTATTTCCCTAGCTGCCAAAATAATAATAGGTAAAGTTCAGGGCTTTCTGTTTTTCATGTTCAAGCCATTTTGATGTGATTGAAATTGATATGGGAAACACTGGAGTTTGTTTCACTTTAGCTGTGATCAAAATATACTAAAGTAATTCCTTATTTTTTTCAATTGCTGTGTAGTTTTCAAGGGATTTCACATGATTCTGCATTTTAAAGCTCACCTGTACCTTTCTTCTACTTGTACAGTATAGTTAACTTTTTCATAGATGCGTGCTCACTAACTTGGCATTATCCTTGCCTTTCACTTGCTCGGCTCTTGCTATAGAAATTCATACCCAATGGAATTCTGAAAATGGTTAGACGTTCTCATTAAACAGTTCAGATGTAAGATCAGCATCTTCTTGGTTTACAATTGTTCCTGTTATCTCCTTCTCAAAACCTGCGTAAAAGTGGCTACAGATATTTGTACTTCCTTGCTTCTGAGAATAAAAGGTTTAGCTCATACTGAAAACATGTAACACTGCCATCACGAACACCCAGTTACTGTTAAAGCTTGCTTGTGTCTAAATGTTTGTGTTCTCACTTCAGTAAAGTGATGGAGTTTTTTCTTTTCAAAGCTGCATCATCTTAAGAAATCCAGCACATGCAATATTTGAGGCCACTGTTGCTGTCAATTCATTCCTGTAAGAACATAGTATTACTTTTAGTCTAAAATATTGAAATGCACTTGGTAAGTTAAAAATAAAAAATGACATTAAAAGACATATTACTGGCATAAATACCTTGTGTTGTCTTCCTTGAGCTTCTTTTGTCAAATTGAACATTTCAGCCTGTATTTGTTTTTGGTTAGACTATTACTCAGTGTAATTTTTTGTTTTTGTAAAGGGTATTAGTTATGATGGGTTACAGCATAGAGTTATCCATTTTCTTTGCCCATGTCTTCTGCGCTTAAGGGTTAGCATAGGGAATTGTGTCCAGAGGGAGGCTCCGCATTACTAAATTCACTACTCTCGTTCTCGAATGAGAACCTGTTGGGAATGGTGTTAATGAAGCACTGGTTTCTGTTCTGACAATAGGCCGTCTGCTGGACTTCAGCGCAGGCAAATGTTCAACCATTCCGCCCTTCAAAGTGCGCCTTGTTTACTGATTAAATAACTTCAGGAATATAATCTGCATCCCTTACAGCAATAGTAGTAAAATTCACATGCAGAATCAACATTAAAACAAATACATTAAAGGAACAATTTAGTAGATGATATATTAAAAGGCATTAAGAAAATATAGCACCAGATCGCTTTTGTTTCAGTAAATAGTCACTTTCTGAGTCTGTGAGAGAGAAGGTTTAATAGACTTTCTTGGAGGGCAGTTTTGCAGAAAAAGCCTACTCTTGAGCCTCCATTAAATGTGCCTGTATGGGTATTGATACTAAGGATTTCTTCCAAAGAACTCAACCTGGGAAGGTTCATGAGTGAAGATTTGGCCTTAGACAACCTAGATCCAAGCCATGTGTGACTTTGTAGATCATAACCATTAAATCTGTGCAAAAGACAATGTTACTTAGTTGCACATCATATTCATATATATATTGATTATTGTGTTGAAAGTGTGTTTATAGGAACATAAGAAAAGCCATGTGAGGTCAGAGCAAAGATTCAGCTGGTCCAACACTATGTTCACACTGCAACAGATCGCTTATTGTGAGCCCACAAGCAAGAAAAAAAAGCAACTGTACCCTCTGTCTCACATTTCACAGTAGCTGGTATTACGTGACACGCAGCCATGCTGACGTTTCGCTATGTATAGCCTTTATATCCAAGAATTAATTTAATCCCCCTTCAGAGCTGTCTAAGTCAGCAGCCATATTTTGTGTTGGGGAGTTCCATAGCTGCTTGTATCCTGTGAAGGAGTACTTCATTAATTTTGAATCAAAGTGAAGTATTTGTAATATTGGAAATGTTGTTACACCCCTTGCCTTTTACTATATACCTGTGTCCTTTCAGTTTTAGGTTGCAGCTTCTGCTTATTAATCTGCTTATGCCCCGGTTCTCAGCCTATTTTAAATCACAACCCCATTTTATAATAACCAATTAACCTGCACTCCCCATCACGTTTGTGTCAAAAGGCCATCATCGTCTTTCCCCAACATGGTGGCACTGTTGCTGCTGATGCTCCTCGCCTTTGTACTGTTGCTGCTGCCAGTTCTGCCACCCCCACTTCAAAACCTTGGAGGGAACAGGCTAGAGGAGACATCAAAGGGCTTCAAACATGGGCCAGGGGGAGGAAGGGCATTGTTGTACCCAGAGAGGGCCCCCCCCTCAGAAATTGGCTCAAAGTTTTTCTTGCATACGCTCCAGTTGAAGGCGGCCATTTGTTTTTGTGTCCCCCTGCTAGGGGCTTGTGTCTCGGGCGGGGAGGGAGGTTTCTTTTTCCTTTTCCAACCCTCCTTTAGGCTCTTCAGAAATGACAAATCCTTTTCTTGTGGAAGTGGTAGTAATTAAATCTTTCCATTGGCAGTTTTTAAAATAATCTGGGTCATCTCTTCTCAGAAAGTGGAGGCTGCTTTCTCCTTCAAAGGATCTGTTGCTAATATCTTGTTTTGAAAGGTCAAGGAAGAGATTATTTAACATGGACTACATCACATATAACCTGGCTGGATAGCTCGGTGGTTTAGGCATCTGGTATCTGAGCCAGATGATGGGAGTTTGATTCCCACTGTGCTTCCTGGGAGAAGAACCAGCCTATGTGGCCTTGGGCAAGCTGCACAGGCCTAGGGCACTCCAAGAAGAAGGTAATGTAAGCCACTTCTGAGTACTCTACTTGGAAAACCCTGAAAAAGGTTGCACTAAGTCAGAATTGACTTAATGGCACATGAGGCTGATGGTTGCAACATATGTAAGGTGACATGTGAAACACCTCCCTCAAAATACTTTGTTACCCCTTTGGGATCATGGCCTCCATTTTGGGAAACGTAATGCCACCATTTCGTAACATAAAGTAATATTTTCTGCCCCCGTCTCTGATTTTTTTAGAATGTTAAATTTGCAAGTCTGATCACCTCTTAGTAAACATTTTGCTGGTTTCTATGATAATTTTAATTGAATTTTAATCATCTTATTTTTATTGTATTGAATTTTAATTATTGTAAGCCGCCCAGAGACCTCTGGGTAGAGTGGGCGGCATATAAATTAAATAAATAATAATAAATAAATAATTCTATTGCCTGGCCTCTATCTAGCTCTGCTTTTTATCTTTTTCTGAAGATTCATGCTTTGATTTCCCAAATACAGCTTTTCATTTTGAATTCTTTATTTAAAATATGAAACTATGCATGAAAATATCACAATAATAAATAAATAAATAATTCTATTGCCTGACCTCTATCTAGCTCTGGTTTTTATCTTTTTCTGAAGATTCATGCTTTGATTTCCTAAATAAAGCTTTTCATTTTGAATTCTTTATTTAAAATATGAAACTATGCATGAAAATATCACATGTATTGCTATTATGACAAATAGATTAAAAGCTCATAACATCTCAGATGAAGGGCAAAACTCATTTTTTCCCTCTAAAACACTTGGCGTAATTAGTGTTTTTGATCACTTTCCAAGACAAAACTTGTAAAATAATAAATAAATAAATAATTCTATTGCCTGACCTCTATCTAGCTCTGGTTTTTATCTTTTTCTGAAGATTCATGCTTTGATTTCCTAATTAAAGCTTTTCATTTTGAATTCTTTATTTAAAATATGAAACTATGCATGAAAATATCACATGTATTGCTATTATAACAAACAGATTAAAAGCTCATAACATCTCAGGGATGAAGGGCAAAACTCATTTTTCCCCTCTAAAACACTTGGCGTAATTAGTGTTTTTGATCACTTTCCAAGACAAAACTTGTAAACCAATTGCATCTGCAACATATACAGTACTGTACAGTATATGTATTCCTTCAGGAAGCATCATGAAGTCAGTAATCTCCTCTCAAACATGCAGTAGCAACAGTAGTAGTGATGTCAAGTTGGCTGAATTACAATGGCCCTTCTAAGGGTTTTCTAGGTACAGTACAAAGTATTTGCACATGGTTTACTAGTGCCTTTCTCGGTGGGCACTAGGAGACTGTGCTGTTTGCTCGTGGCCACACTGGCTTGCTCTTCTCCCAGGAGCCATACTGGGAAATCAAACTTCTTACAGTGTTCAACCACTCAGTGCACTATCAAGCCAGAAACTATAAAACCCAGACTGGGCATATAGGATATGTGAAACTAGGCTGTTTGATTTTTGGGAGGGGGGGAATGCTGGGATTTGAATTTTTAGGATAGCTCAGCTAATTAATGTCAGTGCTGTTAAATATCTAAATATTTTCCCAATATAGTAGCATACTCATGGCTAGTGTAGAATGACACTCCCCCCTCCCCCCCCCAGGTTTTGGCACTGAAATAACAAGGTCAAGGTCTTATAGGCCATGATCAGTGTCAAATTAGCCCAATACAATTTTATTTCTACCCTGCTTTGGAGACTGTAGAAAGAACCCTAAAACATTCCATATATAGTACTGCATTGTTCTAAGCTGGCTTGGGTTTTTTCTTTGCCATGCCTCTGAACTGTAACTCTCCCCACCTTTTCCCCACCTTCCTGGGGCACTGAAGCAGAGGCGGCAGCTGATGCTCAGGATGAACTACAAAGAATTAGAAATTGAATGTTGTGTAGACCTGCTCTTTATTCTCTTTATCAAGAGGGACAGCAGTAGTGTGATGCATCTTGACTTGGAACACCTGCTTTCTAATGACAATAACAACTACAGTCAACCAATGGCCCCCAAAATCCTTTTCCCCCCTGATTGTGAGTATGTGAGCATCTCCCGCACCACCCTCCATAAAGACACCAGTTATTGCTGGAACAGACACTTTTATTGGAGCAACAGGACTTTTAAAGGGCCAACTGGGCCAAAGCATAAGACTTTAAACTAGGGCACTAGGGAGTTAACGCTATCCCCCCAATCCTTACGGGGGGTACTGAGACCCTATATAGTCTCTTCACTGTTCACCCTGGAATCTGTTCATTCCCAGGTGCCAAGATGGGCAAAGATCCTTGAAAGAATAAAATGTTTACTTGGCTCCTAAAAGTATGCACCAAGGAGACATGGGGAGAGGCTATTCAATTATTGAGATAATAGTTTGCCTTGAATTAGTGATCTCTGCTTTTTTCATTTTTCAGCTTCACATTTTTCATAACAATTGGGGGAGCACAGCTGGGCTTGAGTTTTGTACTTCAAAGTCCATCGCTGCTACTCCTGCTTTATGTTTTAACTTGAACTGCATGTGATTTGAGCAAACCACATTGTAGAGGGAGTTTTGGCTTAAGCCAGGCAATATGGTCTGCTCCAGTAAGTTCACAATTCATGAGCTGATAAACAGTAAAGAAAATCAAGAAAAGGACAGCAGCTTCTTGAATTTTCAAGTTGCAAGCCATGTAAGAATAACTTACAGCAGTAGCCTTGAAAGCTGGATTCCTGTGAGTTACAAAAAAAATTATATAAAGTAATACATTTAAAAAATCCCACTGGTTCAGAAGCAAGTAACTTGAGGAAATTTCTTACCCAATTTTTGAAAGCACTGAAGCATAAAAGCACTTTCCCATTCAACAGGAATTTTGTAGAGTTCCTGTGCTAGGGACAAAATTGCAAACATTTTGTATGAGTCTCTGGCATGGTATACCAAGTTAAACTGAGATTCTGGATTCAGACCACCAAGAATGTTTCCTATCATTTGCAAAATCTTA